GCATGGACGGTCTCCAATGTAGATTTGGAATAGTCTGGTCTAGTTCGGCTCATTGGGCTCACTTTTGGGTGCATTTTTAATAATTTGAACTATTCATATTTTAGAGTCTGTTGAGTACATTATCCTTGTAAAAAATCACATCAATCGGATAACAGATATTATGTATTCAGATCGCTTTTGTCTAAAAAAATATGGACGGTCAGAAAATTAACAATTCATAAAAAAGTAATCTGAATACATAGTATTCGTTATCCGATCGACGTGATTTTTTTATAACAATAATATACCCAATAAATTTTAAAATATGCATAATTTAAATTATCAAAAAAAAAAATTAAAAAATGAGCCTAATGAACCGGACTGAATCCTCCAATGACTGAAGGCAAGCCACTGTAGGGTTGTGGATTATTAATGTAACTCCAAATGAATTATTTTTGTCCATTTGGTCTAGCAAATGAGGCGCTTCTTTATCAAATGTGATACTCGGGTTTGAGTTTGATCTCCAATACGTGATGCAATTTTTGTAAGCTTTCCACAAGAAAGTCTGAGTCAAATCCCAAAGAGTAAATATAGTGAGAAAAAAAGTAAATGTACTAATTTATATTATCTTTGTAATATAAATATAAGCGTTTATATATAAAAAGTTATTTGATAGGTCTGATTTACTTAAATGGATGTGTGCCCATCTTATAATAAGATGACACATAGTTAATTTGTCTAAAATGTAAGAGACACTAATATCATGACCTAATACTCTTGAAAGAAAAGATTAGATATAGGTTGGACTTATAGGATCATTTTTTGTGTACACAGAGTAAGAGAGAACCTAATAACTAACTGCTTGGACAGCCCAACCTAACTACTAAACTAACTTCTCTTGCTAACATTTCCTTCTTCTATTCCCCTATTACCGATTGCCAATTTTTTTTTAAAAAAAATGCAGTGAATGTTAGAGAAGTAGGACATCTTATGCTTGAAAAAATGGAAAAACAATTGACAAACAAATGAACAAAGAAAAAAAAAATTGACAAACAAACAAATAACTGAAAATAAAGAGCAAGAAAGATTCAAATTCAAAGATTTTGCATCTGTATATCGGTTGAGCTAATATCACAACAGAAAGTTAACCTATCATAAAAGCCAAGTATTTCACAGATGACATGATCTTACACTAGTGACTGCTAATTCCACTTGCGAGATAGATGGATTGAAGTGTCGAGCATTTACAAGATGACATGAACACATTGAAAAATAACAGGAATGATACATCCCCCCATTTTGGACCCCCAATGACATGGCAAACACTTGTTGGATAGTTTTACATTTTAGTGGAGTTTCCAAGTGATGTGGCTTATGACACATCGCTTGGAGTTGGTTTGGGAGTCCCCAATTAGAGGTCCAAAACGTTTTCCAAAAAATAATTCATAACTTGATACCTAAAAGTTTCAGAGGATCAATGTAAGATAGCCGAGAACATAAGAGCATAAGTTAGTTTATCATTTCAAAATGAACTAGTTCAAGAGCAATATGCACATAGTCCTACAATTGCAATAGGTTTTGTGCTGCTACCCTACACAGGACAACCAGTCACCATTAAAGAGGGGCACATTGAGGTAAGGATCAATAATATAAATAGGAAAGATAACGATAAAATGTTTACAAAGATCAAAATTACTGATATAAAGAGAACAAAACCGATTTTGAGTTTGTTTATAGGAAGTGGTGGTATAATTCTAGTAGTGTTGGTTCAAAATGTCGATCTAGATCGAGGGGACGTGACTTTTAGAGACTACTGCAGCTGGAATTGCAAATTGACTAGAATTTTGACAATGTTGGTGGCAAACACACGCACACTTGGACATAATAAGACTGATTTTACTTCTATGAACCAGGCTATAAGAATCAAAATGAGATAGATAAATTCTTTCATTTTGACTGACAAGGTGGGGCTGAACCATGATTTCAGCTTTTGGACAAAAATTATGCAAACATATAGTATTTCTATGGACTGCAAGAAGCAGCCAATGTTGCATTGCTTGTGTCCCTCAGCTTTGCGTGATCATGAAACCATATTCCAGCTTGATTGAATGAAGAAAGCAAAAGCAGCAACTCCTCATTACATAGCTTTGAAGGCCTCTTATCTTCAAAACCACTGGACCTTAGAACATCAACAATTTTCTCCTTAAACAAATTCATCTCCGTTCCCGAGCAAGAAAAAGAACAGTCCCCTCCATCACTTCCACCTTCTTCGTCTTCTTCCCCTTCATCATCACTACAGTCTTCACTGTAACAATTGATGATATTATCTTCATTAGAGCCAGTTGTTCCACACAATTTATACAGCTCCATCACCTTCCTCTTCTGCTTAAACGTCGCACGTAATGTTTTATTCTTCTTACTAAAGCATGTTCTTGTGAAAGCCCACCACTCGTGAAGATTCACATCAGGAATTTCAGCTTTAGGCCAGATTTTAACGACAGACGAATCAACTTTTGGAATGGGTACAAAGTCTCTCTTGCTTACATCCATAATAAATTTCACATCAGCGACAAGCTTCACATTTACAGCTAAACGGTTGAACTCGGAGTCTCCAGGATTAGCCAATAGCCTTCTTGCAAATTCTTTCTGAAGGAGAAGCGTTGCGCTCCGAAATGGGTGCGACCCAAACACCAACTTAGCCACCAGAGGCGAAGATATTCCATAAGGAATGTTGGCCACAACAAGATCAAACCTTGGAAATTCTGTTTTCAACGCATCACCGCATATAACAGTAAGTCGGTCCCCAAACCCATTCTCTGCAACGCGACTGTGGAGAATCTCCACCATTCGCTTGTCAATTTCGACCGCTACGACCTTCTGGGCAGCTTCGAGGAGCTTGAGAGTGAGATTTCCTGTGCCGGGTCCGATTTCAAGCACCGTATCGGTCGATTTTATATCAGATTTTCGTACGAAGGAGTCGAGAACTCGTGGGTTGGTGAGAATGTGTTGACCCCTGCTTTTCAACAGATGTATGCGACCTTCTTGATTTTCTTTTCTCTTTCGGATATTGTCATCGTCGTCTCTGAAGTTGTAGCGACTCCGACGACTAGGCTTTGAATGAAGAAATCGCAGGCCGAGGATGAGTCTTGAAACGTAGACTGAGATGGGTTTTGGATGAATCTGGACCGTTGCTTCACGGGTTGGGTGACGAATCAGTTTGTTGAGGAAGGAGAGAGAGAATTAGAAATTGTGGGTTTGTCCGGCGGACGGCCAAGGCGAGGCTGCCGTCCGCCGGTGAAGCGGAATCACTAAATTCTCAACCTTGCTCTGATACCATGTTAAAATGTATGTATTATTGATTGATGTTTTGATATATTTACAATTCCTATATATAGAAGAAAATGTGGTAGTAGGTGTAGGAGTGAAGTGGAGGTGGTAGGTGGAGTGTGTGATAGTGGAGGTGGTAGGTGGAGATAAATTCTAACACCTACCACCACCTAACCTACATCTATATAATCAATCCATTGTAACAGAACAAACATCTATCAATCAACAAATCAATCAATAATACATATATTTTTTACACTTTCATTCGATAGCTCACATATGCGGTGTTGCCTTCCAACCGCTTAGCTTAAGCCACGGGATCCCCACGTGCAAGGTCGAATCCAAACCAAGCACTTGAGTTGTCACATGAGGCCTTTGGTGATGCCTCGATAGCCCATTCAGTCTAAAACGAGTCCCAAGATGCCATAGCGTGGGGCATAATGAAAACGACGCATTAAACCTTGCGCAGGCACGCACAATGCTTACAGTTTTGCACCATCCATGGGGCTCCCAAACCCGCATGGAGACTCTAGACACCCCTCTGGATGCCTAGAGCCCACCCTAGAGTTGTCTTAAGGTTGCTCACTTAAAGCCTAATTTAGGCGAGGAGGCAAGTGGGAAGCACACCATACCCCCTTATATGTGCTTTTAAAGCCTCTGACAAAGTAGCAAGAACAAATATAGCTTATGCTTGAGGAGTCATAATGAATTTTCAAAAATTTCTCAAATTGAGAAAAATCACGAAACTTGGTCAGGAAAACACTCACCCGAGACCAAAGTCCAGTAAAAAATTCAGCCCAAAACTCCTTCATTTGGATGCTCAAACAATGCGCCAAAACTCTGCATTGTTAGTTACTGTTGTTGGGCCACGGCCTAAGCCCCGACCTGGGCTGTAGGAGACAAGGTTGGTAGGCGGCCTGAGCCACGGCCTGGGCTGCGACCTGAGCTAGGGCCTTGGTTGCTTGGGCATGCTGTTGGCTGCATGGTGGCATGTCCACCACAAGCTGCTTGGGGCCAACCTTGGGGCCACGTTAAGGCACCGAATCACCGAATTGGAATCTCGATGCCCATCACCTAGGCATTTCCAAGGGCCACTCTTAAGCACTAAAATTGTCATACCACCACATGCAAAACGTCACGGAGTTGACCTTGCAAGGCAACCATGACACCCGGCTCGCCTATGTCTCCACTATGCACTCACTCCCTAAGTAGAGATCACTCTGCTCACAACTATTATAGTAATCAGTTAGCAGCCTAAGCTAGGAGCACGGCCTAGGCATCCACCACTCGAGATCAAAGGATTGTGGATTGGAAGCTAGGAGCAGGGGTTCATCAAGGTTGCCTGACAATCTCCCCTAGGAAAACAACTCCACCTTGAAAAGGCTTAAAGAGAGAGGGGACGTTAACCTTATACTCACGCCTATTACCTCCCATGATACACCTCCCAAGATATCACACATGCCTTTGCAGCTCCTATGATCCAACCTTCCCAAGGTCTAAACATAAGACATAGTAATAGGGCTAATATCACCAACCTATCTAGCTAAGGAGAGCTCACCACCTGTCCACAGGTAGCTTGGACTCGAATACTCCTAGAACTTATATAAGGGTATCCTGCATGCAACTACACAACATAACATAACAAGAGCACCACAACATAACAACACATGTATCTTATGCCTAGCAACCCCATTGCTAAGTGTTCAAGGTCATACATTGTCACCCTCTCTATCTCTAAGGTTGCCTTGGTATACTCCTCCGCAATCTCCAGCAATATGTAGCCATTGAAGTACCCGCCATCTTCCCAGAGGTCCACAACCAACCACATTTAATACCCAATACCTACAACAGTGATCTAACAATAAGATGTTACCACTATCTAACAATAATGATGTACGAAAAGTCACGATGAAAATGAAAGGGCTGTCATTTACAAAGCCATGATAGTATGACGGAAGTTTACAATGATGTACAAATACTAAGATGAAAATGAAAGAAATAATGTATAAAACCTTCATAGCATGACAGATGAAGTTATCAACAGGCAAATGCAGGGAACATAACTTCCACTTCAAAGAAACTTACTTTCAGATTCTTCCTCACTTTCAGCATCACTTGCAGCTCTCCATTTTGCAACTTTCCTCACTCTTCCTTTAAATGAAACACCAGGTGTTGCTAAGTGCCTCTTTCGTTGAAGCTCCTTCACACTTTCCTCTCCTATAACACAGCTAGATAATGAATCTTATTTGCATCAGGAAAAAGAATTAACCAAAGGCAACCCAGTATATAGACCATATATAAACCTGGAAGTGATTCAGGCTTTTCAGGCAAAGGATAATTTTCTTCAACAAATTTTAGCAAAAGTTCGCGAGGCCCCGAAACAAAATCATCGAGTTCAAGACCCTATGGAACACAGAGACTAATTATTGAAAAAGAAAAAAATGAAATCAACAAGAACATAAAGCAAAATAAATACCTAAATCTAGATAAAAACATATTTCCATAAAATTTAACCCCCAAAAAAATTTACATACCCTAATTGCAGGGAAGCAGAAAAAAAATACTCACATATTTTGTCACGGCTTCCTCAGTCCGTGCCTCTCCAGTACTCTGAAGGCCAACAACCACACACTTATTTTCCATCAATGCTTGATTAGCAAGTCTCACAACAGCAGGCACCTTAGCTGACATACACATGTGTCTAAAAAAACGCTACAAGAGCATGCAAAACAACAAAAAGAAAACAAAATAAATAACAGATAAGACAAAACACAAAAATGCAAATTTTGGACACAGTTTCCAAACATTTAATCACTATACTAGTACAATCTTGAAAACTTGAACCTGATGGTTTGCCCAGTATAATCGCCACAACTGACTAGAATTAGGCTTCTCATTAGAAAGATATGCACTGGCTGATAGCAACTCCACACGCAACTCTGCCCAAAATTCTGCAGCTTTTTTATACATCTCCTGAGAACAATGCAATGTGTGTTGAAAACTAAACAAATTTTGAAGAAAATCTAGGCATGTATATTAAATCATTAAAGAAACTTTACTAAAGTTTAGCGTCCACAACAAATCAATTTTGAATTTTATTGTTTATAATTCTGACAAGTAAAACTACTTGACAGAAAAACTTCTTAGTTGTGGTATTGGATCACATGTCAAACAGATGACATAACAGAAACCTCCAAACTACAAGAGTGGATTAATCTTTACTGACAAGGCATAATCTGCTTCCTGCTACAGCCATTGGTTGATAATTGCTGATTGCTTAGAATAAAACAGAGCCAATATCCTTGTCCAACTGAGAAAATTCCACTAAGTTAATTTGTCTCCTAACCAACAACAGCTATTGTTAAAATCCACAACTACAAGAGTGGATTAATCTTTACTGACAAGGCATAATCTGCTTCCTGCTACAGCCATTGGTTGATAATTGCTGATTGCTTAGAATAAAACAGAGCCAATATCCTTGTCCAACTGAGAAAATTCCACTAAGTTAATTTGTCTCCTAACCAACAACAGCTATGCATATTGTTACTGTTAAAGCTTTCTCCTTAATTAATAGGTAGAAACAATTCAAAGACACAACAATATAATACAATAGCCCCAGTAGGAAGAAAATCGACATTTCCATTCGTCAACCAACCGACATTCCATATGTTTCAACTGACATTGAAAAATAAGCCGAACCACAAGCCTCCTTCAACAAGAAAACTAAATAAAAAAATTTCTACGCACTGATAAAAAAAATATACATATTCACACACACACACAACAATTGACACGATGATAAACTGGTTGCAAGTGGAATGCTAAACTTGATAGTCAAATTCTACTTCTCAAATTGTAGAACAGACAAAGTGTGCTTCATACCATCATTTTGGCATCTAATGGTGCTTCAACAACTTCAAACTCCACCCCTTTATAGCTAAGTGTCCGACATACATACATTCCCCTGAAAGGTGACAATACTGTTTAGATTAATTAAGTAATCTAAATACAAACCATTCCATATGACAAATATACCCTCACGACCTTGCTTTCATGTCCATGGCTACAAGTTCTAGTGCTCCAACACCTCCTTTTTCTAGTGCACCTGCATAGAGAGAGAGAGAGAGAGAGAGAGAGAGAGAGAGAGAGCATGATTCCTTTCATAAGTGAGAACAAAATAAGAAAATAAAGTGCATAAACTGTGTACCCAAACATAAAAATTTCTATTCAATACCCCAACAGATGTTGTCAAGTGTGTATTTAAAGTATGCAGTTGATGTGGCAACAACTACAAAGGAAAGATTCACAAACGTGTCTTAATTCAATACTATCATATTTTCCAAAATAGTTGATGTGTGCAAAATAGTTTATTAAAACAGAAAGATTCACAAGCCACAGGATCTATATTCATTACTACCATATTTTCCACAAAAAAATACTAACAGTTACCACCATCGTTACAATTCCAAAAGAAAAGTAGAAGTTACTACAATGGTTACAAATGTTGACTAAACAAGGGCTTTACTCAAAGATTTAACACAGACATCTGAACATGCATATTAGCATTTCCAATATATGATATTCTTGTTTTACCATGTCAACATGTATACTAGCAATGTTTATTGGCATCTGAACATGTACATTAGCCATGTTTAGGTGCACATGCTCACCCTTTCTTCACCCTTATCAAGCACAATTTTTGTTTTCCTTTTTGTTGGTTAGGCTGAATGGATATATATATATATATATATATTATAATGATAAAATTTTAGTGACTAGTATTTTACCACAATTGGCAATCAATTTCCATATTTCATGCTCAAAAACATGATTTTCTTATTATGTCGTTTATGATATTTGAATCAATGTTTGCAACACCACTTTTATATGTATGTGATCCACCTTTTGAACAAAAACCACAAAATTAAATATTAAAACTTCACTAAGTACCCATCACATGTTTCTTAAATTGTACAATCTTAATTTATTAAAATAACACTATAATTAACAATTTAACTAAAATAACAAGACTATAAAATGACTAATAAACTTTCATATTTATTTAGCTGGTTACCATCACCCAAGTTCGCCTAAACATTTTAACAACTGTGCTTATGATCTTGAATGCAACATTTACTATGTTTCTAAGAAATTACAAGATTGACCAACGTCCAGAAATCAATTTTAAGGACAAAATGTTCCTGAGAGATCCAGACCCATATTAGTAAACCTCCCCCCCCAAACACACACACACACACACACACAAATTAGTTCCAGGCAACAAGAATCAAACCTAAAAATTCACGAAAATTAGAGAAACTTGTTCCAGACCCCCAAAGACCAAGCCGAACCATATAACCCATATTGCGTGGTTCTGAAGCACCAGTTGCTGAACAATAAATAACACGAGCTTCAGGAAGTCGAGCCTGTTATGTAAAATTTTTGAAATAACAATTAGGAAATGGACAATAAACCCATGCAGGTCATTCTGCAACTGAAAATTGCAACATTAGTTCATTGAAATAATACGAAGAGAAGAAACGTTTGGCCTTAAAGTTGTAAATGTCCATGAGCAAGCATGCATTCGTCTGCATGTCCATGCATGCACGTACACACTTGCAAGAGAGTTCTATAAAATCAGCAAAACGAAGGGGCATGCAACAAGAGAAGCAGAATAGCAACTCTGAGTATGTAACAAAACAATTAATCAACCAAGAAGCGAGAAAACTACATAGCAGGATAGACAGAGATGTTAAATTTCTCAACAAGGACCATTGTTAACAATACAACAAATCAGCATAGTTACCAGCAGAACCACCTAATAGGGAAGGGGTAATCTTATAACAGGAACTTTGTGGACTTCAATATCCTAGAAACCAGCACAATGACAGGAAAACACCAGCCTAAGAGGCACAGACACTTCTATAGAGGAGGCGTGGTGTGTCAGACACCCGCATCAAACACGACACATGGCAGACACTCCTAAAAAGTGTTTTTCAACGTGTCTTAATTAAAGATGTAAATTCATAATATTGGACACTTAGGCAATACTTCTTGAACCCTCCGAACACGACTTATGTGATGAATCTCTTCGTAATAACAATATTTTGTATTCTTTGGAATGCAACTTATTCAGTCTAAATATGTTTTGAAACATTTACAACATGATACATTGTGTGTATTTCTATATTCTACGTTTTTTTTTTTTTTTCTATATTCAACATTTTTTTTTTTTTTTGCATTCTTTACATTGTAGTTATTACGTGAATGATAATTTGATTTTTAAGTTATGGAATATATGGCCTTTTAATTTTAGTTAGTGATATGTTGTTTTCTCATTACCTTTGAATAAACTATTCATATCTTCCACATATAATTAATTTATAAAAATATAATTTTTAACGTGTCTGAAGTGTATCGTGGCTTGCATTTTTTTGAAAATTGACGTATAAGTATGTTAGTGTCGTGCCACGTGTCCGTGTCTGTGCTACTTAGACACCAGCAAAGTGCCCCACTGGCTGCAACAGCAGCTTGGAAACCATTTCAGAAAAGTCAAATCAGAACTGACCTCACAAGAAAATCAAATACGCATAAAAAGGCAATCAAATTTGACTTAGAAGGAAGAACCAAACCAGCAGGCACAGAGTGCCAAAAAATATAGTAGCTAATAATGCTGACATTAGCAACAGCCTAACCAAAGTCATCAGTTTTCACTCAATTAATCAAAATCATATAAGTGATACAAGACTACCGGTTATGGATGATGTGGAAAGACAATTAGTTATTAGGTATAAAAATGAACAAAAAGCAAAAGTTGAACAAAACCTGTGCTCTTATGTGATCTTCTGCAAGCCAATAGAATAAGAAGAGGAGGTGGGTGAGAGAAGGACGAGGAAGAAACAGAGTGAAAGAATGGCATAGTAAGGTTGATTTAGCCAAAACCTTGTGCTACTAAATAATGAGAGGCAAAATTCAAAGAACACATCTCACGCATCAAACAAATAAGATAAGGAAAAAAACAGTAGGAACATGTGTTTCGAAGATTCAGTCTAAAGAACAAACCTGAATCTCAAGAACAGCTTCACCTGTTCGTGTCGGTTGCCCTCCAGCTTCAGGTACCAAATTTTTGGCTTTGTGGCACTACAATAAAGCCATTGACTTAGCAATGAAACGTAGAGAAGACATTGCAACTGGTAACAGTTATTGCATTGATTACACCATAGTTTCAGTTAAAGATAATGAAACCACAATTGCACAAAACAAGTTATGTCAATTCATTTCTAGTACCTCATCAAATATAAGAAGGCCATCATATTCTGGGCCACACCACTGCACAAGCTGTTGCAAACGAGAACGACCTTTCTCTGAAGATGCTATAAGGCTGCTATATGTCAAAAAAACAACTCCCTCCCTAACCCCAACAGATTTTGAGTCAAGCTTAGAATAAGGCAGCTTGTTCAAAGCATGCACTGCAAACAAAATTAATAATAACTCAACTCAATGACGCTTTCAATCCTAAACCACCTAGAATCAGCAGAACAAAATATGAACAACTCATTGACTAAACAACAGCTAGATGAGCATCCGAGAAACCCTATATCTCAAGCATGAAACAACATTAATAGCATGTGCTTGAAGTAATTCCTTCAAGTCCTATAATTTGACAACCAAAAGGTGAACCTGAGAGGCTCACACACATACATCGCACTGACCCAATTCTATATCTATTTAGAGTCATCTTCTTCTTTTTTTTCTCCCCTTGCCCCCTTTCTATTCATGTATGTACACCCATTAAACTTTGTTTTCCAGCCATCTCTTCCTTCATTACTTGAACTACCACAAAGCTTAATCTACAAAAGCAGATTCAAGAACCCACTTTTTCGTTGAAAAAATAAGACAAATAGAAACCTTTGAGGTGAAACACGACGAGCAAAGAAAAGAGCAAATGCCCTTGTTTGAGACATAAATAAGTTACATTCATGAGATGAAGGGCATATACGATGGTACTCCTCAAACTACAGAAATTTAAACGTGTACCTTCAATACACATTGCACCAGCATCATCCAAGTCCCTTCTAGCATCGAACTTCAAGTCTGAACCAACAGAAATCCACCTGTGTAAGATCATTTGACGGGAAAGAAAAGGATTACAAAACAGGAGCTAAGAACAAATCCTGCCTGGCAGATAATGCAGTTATCAGACCTTAACGTAGCAATATTACAAGAAGTACACAACCATTAAAAAATTTTGAAAAAAATATTTTTTGTTTGCATACAAACATTGCAGCAACCAAATTCTTACAATGCTTTCCTCCTCCCATTGTGAAAATTCTCCCAGATTAACCCTGCAATTGTTCGTCCTTTGCCCACACCAGCTCCATCTCCAACGAAAAATCCAGCCCTAGCACCATTCTGAAGGTGCTGAAGGTGTCTCTGTCACAGAAACCAAATTATATTGCAAGTGATTAATATGTTCAGGACAAGAAATCACAAGTTGAGTCTTAAAACAACCTGACAAGCATAAACCAATGTCTCAATCTGCAAGCATGACAATGCATTTGAACTTTCTAGTTCATCCTTGATTTTAAGATCATATGTGGGTTCAGGTGGCTGAACTGCAGATAAGGAAGATGTCTCCACTATAGGATCTGGATGTGGAGCACCAATAGATAGTTTGGGAGGGCGCTGCATAAAAATAGATAAATAACAAAAATAAAACTCTCATCTGCAATACTAGTTTCCATTAGTCAACACAGATAACTCAACAGAAAGCAGTATTAGCCAAAATAAAACTTCGCTTCACCAAAAAGAAAAACTCACATAGTCTGTAAATGTTTCTCCCACCATTCCACCTTCATCTTCTTCTCGTTCCACTTCAATGGCTACCTAAAAGTTTTAATGTGACAAGTAAAATAAATTCATGTTCATAGGAACTTCCACTATGTAAAAATTGAAAGCTAATAATATTCACAAATTTCAAAGCACCAAAAGATGAAATCAATTGCAAATATGAATATTTAAGGCCATCCTTCTGATAAATTATACATCACTAAGACCAAAAAAAGGTAGTCTCTCAAGGGTCAGGGGGGAGGAAAAAAAAAGAAAAAAGACACCCTATTGATAAGCAAAAGACATGCAAGAAGAAACACTGTCATTCAGATTTATTTGATGTCTATTGGAACTTAAGGCATCATCAATTTTTTTTTAACGTAGATGATGTAGGACAGCTTGTTGGATTTTCAGAAAAGAGGTTATTTGATGGCCGAAACAGTGAGTAATTTAGGGTTCTAATGGTCAAATGAAGGTTAATAGGTAGAAAAAGGGATTAGGGTTGATTTGGGGGTGATCGGATAGGGTTTCAGGGCTGAAAAGTGCACTTTTTGAGGGCTGTGAATAGTAATCCGAAAATAGTGACTTTGTTATGTGCCCACATAAGAAGAAAAAGAAGTGTAAGAAGACGGAAAAAGAGGTGCATCACCCTCTTAAGAGTTAGGCCAATTACACAAACACAATTCCAAATCCTCATAATATCAACTCTTCTGAATCATTGAGATTAGACATATTTATAGGCTACAAACTTTCCCACTTCTTTAAGGACTATGACTCTAATTTAAAACTAAGAATATTTGGCAACTACTAATATTTTAGACTAACTTGATTCTAAATAAAATTCAAATAACATTATTTGACCCACAAGATGACCCGGAAGACTATGACTACTAATCATATCCAGTAATTATTAAATTTACCATAATACCCCTAAATACTAACACCTACTATAATAATATAAATATGTCTAACACCAAACCAAACCAAGCCTTAAGTCCTATCAAATGGGATCGGCTACATGAATCATTCTTCTCCACGCAGCCCTATCAAAGGCCATTTCGTTAGTCAAATTAAGTAGATCCATATATCTATTTACAACACTAGCCAACGTTAATCTAGGCCTACCCCGTTCCCTAACACTCTCATCTACCGTTAAAGTATCGCAACTCTTCACTACTGCCTCTATTGGTCTCCGTTGAATGTGTCTCAACTTATCTTCTATCAGTGCTACTCCTACCCATTCCCGAATACACTCATTCCTAATTTTATCTTGTCTTGTCTAGTCTTGCCACACATCCACTTGAGCATCCTCATCTCAACCACACTCATTTTATCTACATGTTGTTTCTTGGTTGTCCAACACTCCGTCCCATACAACATCGCTAATCTAATAACCGCTCTATAGAATTTAACTTTTAGTCTAATGGATATTCGTTTATCGCACAGTACCCCAGACGCACTTTTTCACTTACACCATCCTGCCTTAATCCTATAGGCCACATCCGCATCAATCTCTCCCGCTGTTGTGATAATCAACCCTAAATAACAAAAATGTTCACTCTTAAGCTGTTCTTAATTCTCAATCTTCACTTTTCCTCTGCTTTCATTGTTACTGTTACTAAATTTACACTCTATGTACTCTATCTTAGTTCTGCTTATCCGGAATCCTTTAGATTCAAAAGCTTTTTTCTAAATCTCTAACTTTGTGTTAACTCATTCTCTGTCTTATCCACTAGCACAATATTGTCTGCAAAAAACATACACCATTGCACGTCATCCTGAATATTTCTCGTTAACTCATCCATAACTAAAGCAAAAAGATAAGGATTTAAGGTAGATCCTTGGTATAATCCTACAGTGATAGGAGATTCATTTGTCTCTCCAGCAGACGATCTAATAGTGGTCACCACCCCTTCATATATGTCCCTAATCACATCAATCTAACCTTTTGTCACCCCTTTCTTCTCTAACATCCACCATATTATATCCCGGGGCACTCTATCATATGCTTTCTCAAGGTAGATAACACCGTATAAATGTCTCTTTTCTTTTCTCTATATTTTTCTATTACCCAAACACTTCCAAGCTTCAATAGGGATATCATCGGGTCCTAAAGCCTTATTTGATTTCATCTTCTTAAGTGCAATCTCCACTTAATAAATGCAAATAAAGGCTTAAAATTATACAAAAACCTCAATCATTGATGCCCTAAACATGTTTCATATGAAATTCCAAATTTTCCTTTTTTCCTTCTCTCCATGATATTACATAGCCATACTAAAGTTCTCACAACTGTCTTAGAACCATTCATCATTTATCAGTTAATGGAGGAGTTCAATCATGTCATTTTGCAAATTCCCATAAATATGTTTTATCATTGTACCCAAGCACCCAAATAAAATGTTCAATGTAGATATGTATTTAATTGGTTAAGGAGAATGATATTCTTTAGACTTATTTGATAATTACGTTACAATATGTATGCCTTGAATTATTTATAGTTTTATCCCGCTACCACAAATACACCTCATTTAAGCTTACCCACCCACTGAAAACATGGCCACTGAATCTGAAATTAATCACGTCGAACCTATATACATTTGTAATTTAATCAATTCAGCAATTATCAACCTATTCTAAATTTCAAATGGTATTCGGCCATATCATATCAAGATGTTGCTTACCAAAGTTCAGCTCAAACTTAATCTTCTTGCCTCTAGGCCTAATAAAATCTGGTCCAGCTGACAAAAGAAGGGGTTTGGGCAAATTCATTATGCATGAGCTAATTTGAAGTATTATCACAAGATAGCTAAAAACTTAATAGCTTGTTTATCAAAGTTTAGACAAACCAAATATGTAACTAATTTAGATGGGAAAAGAAACCAAAGTGTTTTATCCATTTTTAACATGCGACAAAATAGTTTAAATAGTTTTAAAAATCTAAAAACTAAGAACGTATTCGAACTGAGAAGTAAATACAAATCTCATTCTTTTATATGTAAATATGATAAGACACTTAGCAACATCAGGGCCAACTTTTTTCATTCCTATATATAAAGAGCCAATGCTTGATGGACTAAATTTTCGGCCTCCGTGAAATTACACATTTAAGCCTTCTCTAATTTTCATTTGCCATTTTTGCATTGTAATGATGATGCTTTGGGTAACAGTGAAGAAGTATCAACATTTCCCTCTGCTTAGCATTAAATTCTTCAGAGCATCTTGTCTTCCAAAAAGCATATTTTCTTCTAATACCTTCCTAAAACTATTTTTATTTCACTTTTACCCATTTCGTCTCTCATTTATATTATGTAAATAAAGAGTGAACGAGTGCAGTATCATAAATTTGACCTTGCTAAAATTAACATTCTATTCTTTTTATCTTTTAGTTTATGTTTACTATAATAATAATTACAAATTTTTTATGGTGTTAATTTTTGAAGAGAAAAATATAAATCATTGTGCTTATAATATGAAAGGGTGCACACCATAACTAAAGTCTTAGTTATGAACCATTCAAGTTATATTAGAAATCATTGTGATTGTAGGATAAACATTTAAAATTATGAATCATGGTGGTTTTGGTAAATGGTAAAAAAATTTAAAAAAAACAAAATATATATATATATATCAAATTTTTAATGATGTTAATTTTTGTGGAGATAATTACAAACCATTGTGGTTACAGTATGAAATGGTATACCATTAAAAAAAGATTTGCTTATGAACTATTACAGTTACATTAAAAACCATTTAATGATTCTGTTTTTGTTATGAATCCTTGTGATAAACAAATTTACAAAAGAAAAATATTAAGATAGGTGTTTTAAGTTTTTTTTTTTTTTAATTTGTAACCAATAAGTTCTAACGTAACAAATGTAGCTATACAAATAATAATATTTAAAAAGAAATGGGTGTTTTAAACTTTGAAATTTTTTTTTATTTTTTTTTTTTTTGAATGTCACATGTCAAACCCAATAAAGTTCTGGCACTTGTAAGATAGATATTTTAAAATATAGACGTATTTTCCAGGGTGCCTCATTTGGTTCCGTGGTTGGAAAGTAGGCTACTTACTGTATTACATAGTTGGGTTACAGTTGTTTCAGTGGACCCGAATGTGTTGGCTTTTGTAGATTTTGTGGATAAATTGATTAGTTAGTTCCTTGACCCTTTTGTGGGTTTGTCTTTTTGTATTCTTTGCATTATCTTGAGTCCATTTTTAATAAAATTTGTTACTTATCAAAAAATATATATAGGAAAATTTCCAACTCAATATAATTGTGCCGCATTTATGTTTGACATTTAAAAATATAAAAATTTACATCCATTTAAATCTACATAAAAAGTAAACTATTTGTCAAAAGAATTGAAAGAACTACACTACAGACCAAAAAAAACTAAACCAGTTTTCCAAAAAAAAGTTGTAAATTTTTTTTTGACTAGAATAATAAATCAATATTAAAAAACACAAATAACAAAAAATTTAAAAAAATAATAATTTTTAAAACTAAACCAAACAAGTTGTCACTTTTTTATAATATATAGATTAAAAAAATTTAATCTTTTAAATAACTTATATTTCTCAGCTCTTATGCTTATTCTTTGACTCCTTGTAATCATTATTTTAAATGAATAAATTATTAAATTACCAACCAAAAATATATAACAAATTATCTAATTTATTTCAAATCTGGCAAAACAAATTCATAAAATTTATGTGTTGTAATGGGCACTTGCTCGCACCTTGCACAAGCCAATTTCCCTAGTATAGCATAAATGTACTTTTTAAAAGCATTGAATCCCAACCATTTGTGGTCAGCTACATGTCCAAAATATCTATGATTTTTTACTTGTATTGTATAAATGTAACATATTAAAACATTGAACAATCAAGTTAACATAGCCCTATCATCTAGAAGTTTTACTACACATCCAAATCATCTAGAAGTTTTACTTGTATTGCTTTATGGCTCTTCAACAAGTTTCCCATCCTTTTTTTTGTATTTACTATCAACAGCATATGTTTTCATTTGTTAATGGAACAGATAAATAAATGATTTCAATAGAAGCATATTCAACAATGTCTACATCAATTCATATCAACTTTATGATCTAGGCCTGGCAACAACCATCAAAATGAACCATGTCTCTCTTCCACACTAGTGTGGTAGATGTTGACCAAGACAAAGCATCAAAGCTGCTTTTCATTTAATTTTAACTCTAATATGAGCCACTTCTGACATCTCATGAACATGGTCTCTTCTAGTTTTATTCTTTCTTGTCTATCCATGCATGTACATCACCAAACCATCCACATTGCTTTACTCTCATTTTCCCTCCAATTAGTGCCACTTCCAACATATCATGAATATAACATTATTATCTATATCTTCACTTGTCTAGCCCTGGCTCCATCTCAACATCTTTATTTTGGCCATCCTCATTTGAATGTATTTGTTAATAGCTTTTAAACTAGATGATATTCCACTCCACAAAGCTTTATTAAATCTCATTATTGCTTCATAGCCTTCATTTAACTAAGAAACAAATCTTCTCTTAACCTCTACTCAAGCAATTATTCGAAAATTAATCTCATAAAAAATATACATTTATATATGTCATATAAAACTAATATGCACCACCAAATCTCAGCCTAAAATAAATTTATAACAATTTGTTTGACTTATTACAACTCTCCAAAAATAAGAGTAAGATTGCATACATTTTTCCCTCTACAAACCTTGCTTTAGTAGGAACCTCGTGCATTAAGTCACCCTAGGTAGTTTGACCAATCTACCACAGCAACAAGATTAGCCATCTATATAATACATGACTACAATGTGGGATAACAAGTAAACTAAGAGTTTAAGTTGCAAGTCAACATTGGGAGAGAATTATGAAGCTCCTTAAGTATTTGGTCCCCCAAGTTTAAGAGTGAATTGATTCAACTTTTTGGCGAGTGAGTACCAAGGTAGACCCATTAAAGTTAGGTAGTCCTTCCAAGTGAGCTGAGTCCCCAATTCACCCTTGCTACCTTTGTATGCTGTTATCAACTTTCTTTCGTAGCACAAGTTTGTCTTCTTATTAAAAAAATTTAACATAACAAAATCAATTTGGAATTTGAACTACATCATGAACATGTCTAATCAGTTAGACTAAAAGTCCCTAAAAACTTGGGGAAAAAAATAATGAAGAGGGGGGGGGGGGGGGTGGGAATCCTTTTTTTTTTAAAAAAAATTATTTTTTTTTTTTTTTTTTTGTGAATTTTTTTAAATGGGGAAAAAAAAAGAGGAAAAGGGGGGGGGGGGGGGTTGGAATCCATTACTTTTTCAAATAAATTAGTTTTTTTTTTAGTTTTTAGTGAATTGTTTTCATTTTCATTTAAATTTTTGGGGCATTTAGACTAAAATTCCCTAAATTTTAAAAATAATGAATGAAAAGTTAAAGAAGTCCACTAAAGAGAAAAGAAAAAAAAAATTAAAAATCTACTTCCAAACAGTATTGGCAATTTAATTTCTTCTAATCCAATTCTTACAGAAGTTTCAAGACTCTCAACTCCATCACATATATCAAGAAATAATCAATATGAAAAATGCCAAGGCTAGAGATGAAATATGCTTAATTGATACAAAACTCCTACACTATTTGTTTTTACAAGGCAAGTAGTGAACTATACTAGTTCGTGAGCAATTCTAAGTAAGAAGCGGTTAAAAATATTTTTCTTTGTATGAATGACTAGAATCTCACTACGGTTCAAATCAACTATAGATTTCCTTTAAGAATATCCAAAATCAATGTAAATCAATGTATCTTAAGCCAGGGAGCTGTTATTGCCATCAGAAAACACAGTTTAAAGTTGAGATTTCTTTAGGAACCAAAGAACACTACTTGATTATTGATCTAGTAGGTACCACACCGACTGCAGTTTTGTTCGCCCCCATCCCCTGCCCCCTAATTGGCATACTTGTCCACTTGCCAATATAATAATATGTAGTGGGCAAGGCAATTCAGAGCAAACCAGTGAGCAGTGACCAAGACTGAAATTGCATAGCATTGTAAAAAAGTGCCGGAACAAAAGGAAACCCAAGTTTATCCAGCATCAGCAGCATTGAATAAAAACCAATTTCAATTTAGGTCAAAAAGTTAGGGTTTTGCAAAAGGGCACTTTAATCAAAAAACTAACTAGGTAGACAGAGAAAACTGAGGCAAACAAAAAAAAGAGAGTAAATTAAAAGAAAAACCTCGTTGACTTCCTCGGGAGGGGGAGGCGGAAGCGGAGGCTGACGAGGAGGGGGAGGAGGAGGAGGGAGAGGGAAGAAATGCTTTAATTTGGAGACATCAACAGCGAGGTCGACACCACACTGAGGGCAAGAGAAGCGAGAGAGGCCGTGAGGAACGTTGAGGATGGCCTTACATTGAGCGCAAGGAAGCTGGATCTTCGTCGGATCAATGCCGTGTGCTGGAACGCTTCGGTGTGAGGGAGCCCTCATCAGCTCCGGCGGCAGCATCTGAGGCAATTGACACGTAGGGCATACGAACTCCGTCAATCCCGGCCCCACATTCAAAATCATACGGCAACCTGCGCACCTTACTTGGCATCCTGCTGCTCCTGCTGCCGGCGCCGGTGATGGCGATGGTGTGGGGACCAACGGGGGAGGAGCAGGCGGCACCGATGGCTGCCCCATTTCTCAAAAAACCCCTCTTTGGAATTGGAATTGTGTTATGCACAATACAACACTAATACTATATAAATATACACACCCAACAACCCAACTGGGAGAGATGTAATACAATTTCAAGTATCAGATGATGGCAAAGGAACGAGGAGGGTTGTGTTGTGTTGGGTTGGGGAGTTTTAGAGCGGCAAAAAGGTTGTTTGCGGTGTCGTCGTTGCCCCCCTCTCTCTCTCTCTCTCTCTCTCACTTGGGTTTCTTCCCGATTTTTGCAAAAGCAGACAACTTGTATGCCAATTGCACTAAAAAAAAAAACTAATCATAGAATTATGCATAATACTTGTGAATTGCCAGAATTTTTTCATTTAATTACTAATAAATTTGAAAATTTATATTTTCATATTAAAATTTTATCACTCTTCGTAATAAAATAAAAAATTTCACTTTTAAGTTCGGCAACACTACTTATATTTTTTGTAATAAATAAAAAAATTTACTTTTAAGTTCTACAACACTACATGGAACTGGGGAAAAAAAATACTAAAAATATTGGACTTTTTTTTTATTTTAATCAATTTTTTCACTTTTTATAATTTTTTATATTAGACAAATCTGAAAAATAAATAAATTTATCACAATTTTTTTAAAGAACCACTAAACAAAAAAAATCTTAAAAAATATGACTTTATTAGATCTTTTCAAACAAAACCTCTGCTTCTAAAATATCTTACCAGTTCACGTATATTTTTTATGTCCAACTTCTATATTTGCAAGGTTGTTTGGGGTGTACTAATAAATAAACAGTTTTTATATTTTTTATGTCACATCTCTTTATTTTTCTGTACACCTTTCATAAAAAGTCAAAAAATACATTTATCTGTTGTCCATCTTGGAGTGCATCATGCAACCTACCACCTTTTCTCAAACTCAACTGCGAGATTACAAAAAATATATCGTTGCTTTTTAAATTATATTTATCATTTATTTTTTTAAAATAAATATACTGTTATTTAATCATCTTGATTTGTATATGAACATTCTATTTAATAAATCCTAAAAAAATAAACAATTTGAATTATCAAAATCAATTCCAAAATAAATTTACCAAGTTTAAATTCTCTCTTAAGTTGAGATGACAATTTAAAAAAGTCAAACTATTTTATTATAGAGTTACACAAATTCAAAGTACTAAAATAATAAATTCATCCTCCTTAATAGGTAATTAAAATTAAAAATTTATCAAAATCAAAACATAATGCAACAATAATTTTACTAACACAGAATACCAAACACAAAAATGTTCACAGAAAGAATGCTACTGTATCAGTGTGCTTGATTTCAGTTTTCTGAATTCGATTTTTTGAAAATTGAGTTTTTTATTTTTTATGTTTTTTTATTTTTAGTGAACATTTTTAAAATTTTAAGTAATTTTTTTTACTTTTTTAGATGCACCTTATTTAGATGTATCTAAGTAGTAAAATATTTGTGAAAAAATATTTTAAAATTTTAATAAATACACAAAAAAAATAAATATATATATACTAAATTTTTGTATTTTTTGATATTTAGTATATTTTTCAAAGATTTTTTTCACAAATATTATACTTTTTAAGTGTGTTTATGTTATATATGTCTAAAAATACAAATAAAAAAGATTTGCTTAAAATATTAAAAAAAATTCATTAAAAATATTAAAATACAAAAAATAAAAAAGTTGAATTTTCTAAAAACTAGAATCAAACAAACTATCACATTTTTTTTTTATAACTTATTTGTTGAAAAAATGCACATCTAGAACTATTAATATTAATAAAAAATAATAATACTACAAATTCATAAGTTTTATCTAAAATTTTATTTTAAAAAATCAATATTTTTTTTCCCAATTAAATTTTTTTTCAAATAATTATTTTTTCAATTAATTTTTTTTTAAATTAAATTTTTTCAATTATGTTTTTAATTATTTTATTGTTCAAACCAAACGCGTTTGTAATTTATGTTTTTCTAAAAATAAATAAAAACCAGTTTATAAAATTTTCATTAATATAAACAAAAAACATAAACGTTACAAAACGCTACTTTAGTATTTAGGGATAAATTTTTTTTTTTATTTTAGGGTTTAGGGTTTAATTCTTAAAATTTATTTATTTTTATTTTAGTAAAATAAAAAAATAAATTTTATCCCTAAACACTAAGGTAGCGTAAATTTTTAGAAATTTATTTTTATTTTTAGAAATTTATGTTGATGAGTGTTCACTTTACGTTGGTCCAATAGCACTTGTGTATCAGTTGGTCCAATAGCACTTGGTTCACTTTACTTTATTTTTTATCAGCTATTGCATTTGTGTATTGAAAGCGTGGTTCACAACCACGCTTTCAAAAGAAAAAAAAATGGTAAAAATCGTGGTTTAGAACAGCGATTTCAGAAGAAATTTTTTTTTTCGATAAAAACGTGGTTCAGAACAGCGATTTTAAAAGAAAAAAAATTTAATTAAAAGCGCCTTTTGTAACCGCGATTTCTTAATCAAAATCGCGTTTTGTAATCACGATTTTAAGACTTCCCAAATTTCACGAGAGACAGGCGCATACATGTTGAAATCGTGGTTGTGAACCACGATTTAACCTATTTTGGAAATTCTTTCAAAACTAGGCTTAGTTTGGGAATTGATTTAGTATTTTGGCTTATTTAGGGAAATGGCCCTAGAAGGAACGCTACTTTATCGGTGTGTTTGATTTTAATTTTCTGAATTTAATTTTTTAAAAATTGAGTTTTTTATTTTTCATTTTTTTTGTTTTTAGTGAATATTTTTAAAATTTTAAGTAAATTTTTTTACTTTTTTAGATGCACCTTACTTAGATGTATCTAAATAGTAAAATATTTTTGAAAAATTATTTTAAAATTTTCATAAATACACAAAAATATATATATATATATATATACTAAATTTTCGTATTTTTTGGTATTTAGTACATTTTTTAAAGATTTTTTGCACAAATATTATACTTTTTAAGTATGTTTATGTTAGATATGTCAAAAAATAAAAAGAAAATAAAAAAATTGATAAAAATATTTTTAAAAAATCATTAAAAACATTAAAATACAAAAAATAAAAAATTAAATTTTCTGAAAACTAGAATCAAACAAACTATCACTTTTTTTTAAAAAACTTATTTGTTGAAAAAATGCACATCTAGAACTATTCAATGCTTAATCTCTCTCTCTCTCTCTCTCTCTCTCTCTCTCTCACACACACACATACACACACACATACAAATATTAATAAAAAATAATACTACAAATTCATAAGTTTTATCTAAAATTTTATTTTAAAAAATCAATGGGTGATTGAGATTCTTTCTTAGCATGAACCCACAAAACACCAACTAAATCTCAAGGATACATTCTTCCTTTTCCTAGTAGATTTCTGAACAACAATTCTGGGTAGCTAGACATTTTGTCATCTCATTGTATGAACTCCAAGATGCTGTAGTAATTCAAAGATTTTATGTGAAATATTTTTATTTTGTTATCTGATCAAGAAATTAACTTGATATATATTTTATCTGATTTGCCAGGCTAAACTAACTCCAGCACTCTAAAACCAATCACTACTTGTCCTCGCTTGGAAAACAACCAGTTTAGATAAAAAGTCAAAAAGTAACTAAAAAAGTCAAAAAAACCGACAATCCATACCAAAAAGTCAAAGGTTCTATTTTCTCTCTTCTTTTTACACATCTTTTCATAAAAAGTCAAACAGTCATCACAAACATACTAGTTTTTTTTAACTCATATTTTAGCCAAATAGTCAAAAAATTATGAAATTAGCATATTCTCAAACGTACTAGAACTACTAGTACTGTCTAGTACATCCAATGTAGCGCAAAATGACCATCATATTTGTAATTGTACCCATGTATACCTAACATTTGTATTAGTGTGGAAATATCCTACAATAACCACAATCAGATATAACGCACCACATTCAGCAAAATAAAATAGATTAAAGTGACATGTTATGGTCTCCTTTCTCCAATTTGTTTTCCCGGTCACAACAAAATAGTCCCAAAATAAATTTTAAAAAGAAAAAAAAAGAGAAGACAAACACACACTCACCCTGTCAAATAAACCCGAAACTCCTATAACTTTCACACACACCTCTATTCAATTTACTCCAATCAAATTCAAATCATTTTCTCATCTATCCATCTTTTATTTCTCAGAATAACTCATCTTCTCCATTGTTATATTTTACAAGTTTGATGATCTGGAAAAATCATTACAAGGTCAGTATAATATTATTTCTTATTTTATATGTATTTTTTTAGTGTTTGTTACTTTGTGTGTATATATTTCTCTTTCTTAATATTTTTCAATTCATCTACACATCTTTTCATATTCTCAATTTCTATGCTCCTAATATTATTTCTTAGTTTATATGCATTTTTTTAGTGTTTATTACTTTTGTATGTATATATATTTATATATTGCCAATATTTTTCAGTTTATCTACATATCTTTTCATCTTCTCCATTATTACATTCAATTATTCTCTCATCTACCTATCTTTTCTCAAAATAACTCATCTTCTCGACTGTTATATTTTGCAAGTTTGATGATCTGTGAAAATCATTATAAGGTCAGTGTAATATTATTTTTTACTTTACATGTATTTTTTTAGTGTTTGTTACTTTGTGTGCATATATATTTTTTCTAATATTTTTCAATTCATCTACACATCATTTCATTTTCTCCATTTTTATAATCCTAATATTATTTCCTACTTTATATGTATTTTTCCAATGTCTATTACTTTCATGTGTGTATATTTTTTTCCTAATATTTTTCAATTTATTTACATATCTTTTCATCATCTTCATTATTACATTTTGCATGATTTGGGCTTGCTTTTTTAAAAAAAAAATAAAAATACTGTGAATCGCGTTTGTTCTTCAATTTAATCAGATTTGAAACTCATCAGATCTTGAATTTAATTTATTTATTTTTATTTTATCTCATATCTATCACACCATCACACCCATTAATAGTTTCAGGTAAACTCTCGAAATGAAGAAGATCAGCTATGCATAGAGTTAATCTCACATTTGCTCCTTCAAGCTCTCTCAATCATCTACAACCAATATACATCCAGTTAAATATACACACAAAAAATAGCTTCAAAACCTTATACACAATTTCTCAATTTTAAAATTTTTAAAAATAAAAAATATATTTGGCTTAAAGTGATAGGTACATCTAACAATATTTAATTTTAAAATTTTAAAATGTTTAAATTCTATCTAAACATACCTAATTTAAATTTTTGAATTTTTTTGTAATAATATTAAAAAAATGGTTCAAATCTATTAGTGTATTATCTAAATTTTGAATTAACCCACATGGCATAATCTTACTGGATTTAACATTTAAATTTTAAAATTAACTAAAATGTCTAATTATATGATTAGAGGAATTCCAATACTTTATTTTGAATTTTTCATTTTTTATTTTTAAATTTTTGCAAAATTTAATGCTAAGTGTTGATTTTTTATTAGTTATCCATGATTTTATCTAAAGTTCTTTTTGTAGGCTATAATGATAACAATTGACTACCATCAATTTTAAAATTTTCTATCATTGTTTTTTTTTTTTTTTTTTGGTGGGGGCAGATTGATTTTCGATCATCAAGCATGCAATTTAAAAATTAAATATATTTTATTCTATTACAACTTTATTAAAAAAGTAAATTTATTTTGCTACTATTTAATAAAATATATATGCCTTTATTTTGATATAACAAACAAAATTAAATTATCTTTTACTCATACGTAATCTCTCATAAATATTTTATCTTTTTAAAATTTTGATTATCAACAACTGAATTCCCACATTTGTCTCTTCTTTTTTTTTCTCTTCTTTTTTTGTAGGACGTTTATTTTACTTTTATTTTTACTTTTCAAATTAGATTTGATATCTATCTTTTTACCTATGAATATATCTGTACTATATATATAAGCAAATATAGTGTGTTCTCTAAAATTTTTAAATTATTTATACTCAATTCTTAAGCAGAGTTAAGATTCTATTTCCTACATGTTGCTCTCTCAAAGTTATATTTTTAATTTTTTATCCTTATTTTTCTCCAATAAGAAATATTTTTTTCTCTTACTATTGTTTTTATTTTAAATTTTTAACTTTTAAAATCTTTTTATTATCGAAGACTCCTTATCTCTTTTTATTGATTTTTTATTTATCTTATTCTTCTCCAATATTTTCATTTTTTTTATTTCTTATTTCTTCCTTTTTAATTTTTTTTTTGGTATCCTTTTTTTTTTATCCCCAATCCTATCATTATCTCCAACTTTATTTTTATTATATTTTTTCGTATGATCCTTTTTTTAAATTTATTTTAATCTCTAATCTAATAATTATCTTCAAATTTATTTCTATCTTATTTTTCAAATACTTCACACTTTAGCTATATATTTTAACATGCCATCGAATTTTTTTAATGTTTGCATATTGGGTATAAAGTTTTGTTCAAACTCTACATTTAAAATTCAAGTTACATTCAACCATCGACAACGTTATAATTGGTTAGGCAATTGTAGGATTTTAGGATTTTGATGAATTTTATTCTTTTTGTATACCTATATGTATATGTAGTGAGGGCATTTTTTTTTGTTGTTTTCTTTAAAAGGGCCTTTGAATATTTTTACATTATTTGTAGTAGTATTCATTTTTACATTTTTATATTATTTGTAATAGTATCCAGTTTTACATTATTTGTTTTTAAGCCTAAAATAATGTTCGATAGAAATATAATTCATGCTACTAAATGACCTACTTGGACTAAGATAATTTTATAATCAATGTTTCAAATGACAAATTAATGAAAAAAATGAATGTATGAATTTAGGTATTAGATAGTTATCATATTCAAAATATTTGTTAGTTATAACTCCCTATTATATTTTAAATTTATAAAAATTTTATATTTTATAATACAAAAATAAGTATAATAAATTATTTAACTTATACATTTTCGATTTCCGTACACAGCACGGGTTACCACTAGTTTGTAATTGTACCAATGTATACCTAACATTTGTATTAGTGTGGAAATATCCTGCAGTAACCACAATCAGATATAACGCACCACATTCAGCAAAATAAAATAGATTAAAGTGACACGTTATGGTCTCCTTTCTCCAATTTGTTTTCCCGGTCACAACAAAATAGTCCCAAAATAAATTTTAAAAAGAAAAAAAAAGAGAAGACAATCACACAATCACCCTGTCTACTTCTGTTGATGTTTATTGTCAAGTTGAGAGCTGCTTTCCTCGGGAGTGGCAGTGGGAGCGGGCGCGGGAATAGGTTGAATTCTGACATATGGGTTCCTCGTCAAAGTCTCCCCTCTTAAAGCAGCAACATATCGATCGTTTGTATCCTCTTTCCTCTGCAGCTCGCCAAGGTATTCTCCCAGCCTCTCTCTATTCACTTTCCCCATCATCTATTTCACAAATTCAAAGAAACCAACACATCTGTCACTGTCAGGATATATATATATATATATACGCATATATTCTCCCAGGATATATATATATACACATATATTCTCCCAAAAGAAACAACTTCATGACCAAAAGGAGAAGAGGAGAAGGAAGATAACAGAAATGCTGAAACCCACTTAATAGTACTTATTGCACTTCACACCAATGTACATATATATATGTGCATAATGTATGGAATATATCCAATAGAAATTTAAGAGACAAATTTCAACTTGGACAAAGACATCTTATGACTATGCCCCTGAATTTCAACAGAAGAACGTATAAGTAGGACAGCCATATATAAAACAGGTAAGCACAATGAATTTTATAATATTCCCATATCAACATAAATACAGGTCACCATATGCAAGGGATTAAGTTTTGCTTTTTCTACAAGTAAGAGTAACGTACAAACAGAAAATTCATACGGAATTTTCATACATAATGATGTGACTTAATGATGACCTTTCACTTCAAAACAAAACGCCCTGCCTTACATTTATAACAATGCCACCGCCACATCATTCTTGTGGTGTTTTTTGTCTGAATTTTATGTATGAATGGCATTTTCCTACAAGTAAATATAAAATGCAAGAGATTACAAACACAAACAGGTGACAAAAGCATTTTCATTGTTTTGATCAGTAATGTAAGGAGACTAAAACTTGAGTCTCTGATCTCTTTTTGCTGATGATACCATCATATCGTGTGGAGCTGAGCTGAGGAAGAGTTATTGAGGTTATCTCCACAGTATATTGGAATGCTTTGAGGTGGTGTTGGGTTCGACGGTCAATTTGGCTAAAAATGATGGCATTATTGACAATCTAGCGCTGCAGGGGAAAATGTTGCCATATCATTGTTGCATCATTGCATGCATAAAAATGTCGAGTAAACCTGTAACCACCTTCTGATTCACTATGCAATGAGAAAAGCAAGCAAGCCCTTTGACTGCTGAGATTTTACATGATTTTTGAACCACAAAGGCCCCGTTTGGTGTAGCTGTTAAAACAGCTTATAGATTATAGCTTAACAGATTATAGATTATGACTTTAATCAGAAGTTGTTAATCTGTTTGGTGTAACTGTTGGATTATAGATTTAAGTTGCTGAGTAGTGTTTGTTAAATAAGCTGTGAAATAACTTTTTCAATTAATTTTTATTTTTTGTTTGTCTACATTTCTCATAAAAAATAATAATAATAATCTATAGTCCATTTGAGTCTTTTTCTATTTTTAAAAAAATAAAAAATAAAAAAATTTAAGAGTATAATCATAAATTAACATGTCCACAGCAGAAGCTGATAATCAGAAGCAAGGGGTGAGCAGCTTCTCAGAATCAGCTTTTTTGAGTTAAAATAAGTTGTTAGAATCAGAAGCTGTTTGAAATAAGTTTAACCAAACAGTCTAAAATAACTTTTTCAAAACTAAAAGCCATAAGTTGGCTCTGAAAAGCTGAAACAAACACCTCCAAAGGATGACATAAAACACCATGGAGGAATAAAACTGATGGAAACAAGTGGCAGTGTAATACCAAAGTTTATAAACGGCATGGCAAAGATGCTTCCAAGGCTCAAGCTTTGATTTGGCATGTGACGGATGATGCCAGGCCAGGCCACTTGGAAACTAGAATATTTTAGTTTTGAGTATTTTCTCTATTTCATGTTAATGTTTTATGTGAGCTTAGTTTAAGTTTTAGGATCAGGGGTGTTTTTGTAATTTGCATAATTTCTTGAATAGGTCTCAATAATGGGTAGTTGTGCTGCCCCATGGGTCTTGGCATTAGTTTAATATGTTTATATGAGTTTTATTTGGTATTAGATTAGTTTTAGAAGTCAATTATTTTTGGTTTTTTTTTTTTTTTGGTAAATCATACTTCTAGCTGGTAAAGTCTCTTGTAGTTTTATATAAAACTATGTATTGCTTCTAATTCAATAATGATCAGTTTTTACATAAATTTTCAAAGCTGTGAAGCCTGTTTTGGGATATTGTGATGCAACCCAAACCGCCTAAGAGATTTTAGAAGTGATCCGTAGTTTTCTGCCTCTTCTTTTCTTTTATTTTCTGTACAATTCACAGATTACTGTTTACCACCTATAAATAGGGATGGCAATTTGAAACCCGACCCGACGGGGATCCCCGATCCCGACTCCGATTTAAACGGAAAGTTCACATGTGAAGAAGGGTAGAAGGTAGACTTTTAGGGGTATTTGGGATGATATAAAATAAGCGTATTTTTTGACTTTTTATGAAATATGAGTTGAATTTAAAATGATGTGATAGAGAAGTGATGTAACTTAAATAAAATGATATGATTTAAATAAAATAATAATTTTTTAATTTTTTTAATTTATGATAAACAAGGCCTTGATCAATACACGTGCCTTCCTTAACAAGTCAATGAAATTGAACATGATGCTGGGTGGATGGTTGTGTTGTGTCAGAGATGCTCCGTTTTGGATTCTTGAAGCTAAAGCCAATTTTTCTTGTGTGGGCCTGGGGGCCTCTATCTTCCAAATTCACAATATTTATTTAGGTCTAGTTTGGGAACACTAAATAAGTATACTTTTTGACTTTTTTTGTATTATGTGTAGAAAAAGTAGAGAGGAGATGTTGATTGATGTGACCCAAAAAAGATAAAAAGATGAAATAAGTGCACTTTTTTCTTTGTAGCCAAACTTGGCCTAAAGTCTATAAACGGCATGGCAAAGATGCTTCCAAGGCTCAAGCTTTGATTTGGCATGTGACGGATGATGCCAGGCCAGGCCACTTGGAAACTAGAATATTTTAGTTTTGAGTATTTTCTCTATTTCATGTTAATGTTTTATGTGAGCTTAGTTTAAGTTTTAGGATCAGGGGTGTTTTTGTAATTTGCATAATTTCTTGAATAGGTCTCAATAATGGGTAGTTGTGCTGCCCCATGGGTCTTGGCATTAGTTTAATATGTTTATATGAGTTTTATTTGGTATTAGATTAGTTTTAGAAGTCAATTATTTTTGGTTTTTTTTTTTTTTTGGTAAATCATATTTCTAGCTGGTAAAGTCACTTGTAGTTTTATATAAAACTATGTATTGCTTCTAATTCAATAATGATCAGTTTTTACATAAATTTTCAAAGCTGTGAAGCCTGTTTTGGGATGTTGTGATGCAACCCAAACCGCCTAAGAGATTCTAGAAGTGATTCTTAGTTTTCTGCCTCTTCTTTTCTTTTATTTTCTGTACAGTTCACAGATTACTGTTTACCACCTATAAACGGCCTTTATTTTGCCAACAAATTCCTCTCTCTTTAAGCCCAAGCCTTCTACAACCAAACCCTACATAACTCTTGGCATTCTTTCACTAAACCTAACCCTAAAACCAGCTTAAGAATGCTTCAAACCTGCGTGTGCTGCATCAAAAACCTGCACCTCTTTTTGGGTTCTTGAATTTTTCCAAATGTGGAGTAAATTAGTAGTGGTTGCAGAGCAAATGGAGAAGCTTACGCTGCAAGCAAGACAGCATACTAAGACAACTAAAATCTAAATTTTATTTGATGTTTAGTTTTTCTTGTTAGGCGTTTAGTTTAGTGAAGTACTTCTTATGGGTTTTTGCTCGTACTTTTATTTCAAAAGGTAAATGTGATTTTTAAGGGAGCCATGTGACTTTCGATGGCAGATTAGTCATTTAATTCCTTTTATTCTGCTGCACATGACAAATAGCCCTTAGATTTTATTTTTATTTTTTTTTATTTTTTTGAACGAAAATAGCCCTTAGATTAGGTTAATAAAAGGCTGACATCTATTAGGAAATCAAATCTTCCTAACGTGAGACACAAAATAACAAACAAACAAAAAAAAACAAATCAAAGACATCACACACACACAAGAACATAATGATTTACATGGTTCATCCCACAGTAAGGCTACGTCCACGGCTACTATGGTTTTCACTATGATTATAAAACAATTACAACTCTCTATCATACAAGAGGCACCCCCCTATTCTATTTATAAGCATAGAAATTAGGACAACGTGGAAGCAATTAGAAATTACCAAAAGTACCCCTGGGCCCCCCTTCACTTGGGGGGAGGCCCTCCCAAACCCCCCATTGGACCCATGGCCCAGTGTACAGTATCAGGATCCACAAGAACATACTTTTTGTTAGGACAGCCCTAGTCTTTAAAGGGTTGTTCCAGGTTGTATTCAAAGGCTTTTGGACCATCATTTGCGCAATTTTAAGTCTTCTACATAAAGTTTCTTACTCTCCCTTTGTTTTGGGATTGAGATGTGGGTGTTTCAGCCAAGTCTAAGCTTGTTCTAGCTCTGGTTCTGTGTACATTTAATCTTTTTGTTAACGGATTGCATCAAGCATTAGTTGGTCCACTGGAGTTGTCTGGGAATTTCAAGCATTTCTCTAGGATTTTACAAGCAGCCACCTGGGAGAACAAAGCCACCTCACCTACCTGTTTTTAACCTGTTCAGAACGCAACAGTAGATCAACAACAACAACGAATGATCCTCTGCAATTGAAGATTTAAAAAGGCAAATCAAACAGACCAGCACCTATTCCATCTAATGATAACCTTTGGGACAATCAGTTTGTGGGTATTTAGTAGTGAGGTGGTTGGTCATAGACCTCTAGGAAGATGGTGGGCACTTCAATGGCTTGTCAATTGTTGGAGGCAAAGGAGGAGAGAAACAAAGCAGCCTTAGAGGGAGAGAGTGTGGCAGTGAGAGAGACCCTTAAAATTCCCTTTCTGGTGGTTGGTTCACAATCATGAATCTAAAAGTCAATTCAACAAACACTATGTGAGCAACTAGAGATTACAAACACAAACAGGTGACAAAAGCATTTTTATTGTTTTGATCAGTAATGTAAGGAGACTAAAACTTGAGTCTCTGATCTCTTTTTGCTGATGATACCATCATATCGTGTGGAGCTGAGCTGAGGAAGAGTTATTGAGGTTATCTCCACAGTATATTGGAATCCTTTGAGGTGGTGTTGGGTTTGAAGGTCAATTTGGCTACAAATGATCGCATTATTGGCAATCTAGCGCTGCAGGGGAAAATGTTGCCAAATCATTTTTGCATCATTGTATGCGTAAAAATGTCAAGTAAACCTGAAACCACCTTTTGATTCACTATGCAATGAGAAAAGCAAGCAAGCCCTTTGACTGTTGAGATTTTACATGATTTTTGAACCACAAAGGATGACATAAAACACCATGGAGGAATAAAACTGATGGAAACAAGTGGCAGTGTAATACTAAGGCCTAGTTTGGGAAGACTAAATAAGTGCACTTTTTGACTTTTTTTGTATTATGTGTAGAAAAAGTAGAGAGGAGATGTTGATTGATGTGACCCAAAAAAGATAAAAAGATGAAATAAGTGCACTTTTTTCTTTGTAGCCAAACTTGGCCTAAAGTCTATAAACGGCATGGCAAAGATGCTTCCAAGGCTCAAGCTTTGATTTGGCATGTGACGGATGATGCCAGGCCAGGCCACTTGGAAACTAGAATATTTTAGTTTTGAGTATTTTCTCTATTTCATGTTAATGTTTTGTGTGAGCTTAGTTTAAGTTTTAGGGTCAGGGGTGTTTTTGTAATTTGCATAATTTCTTGAATAGGTCTCAATAATGGGTAGTTGTGCTGCCCCATGGTTCTTGGTATTAGTTTAATATGTTCATGAGTTTTATTTGGTATTAGATTAGTTTTAGAAGTCAATTATTTTTGGTTTTTTTTTTTTTTTGGTAAATCATATTTCTAGCTGGTAAAGTCACTTGTAGTTTTATATAAAACTATGTATTGCTTCTAATTCAATAATGATCAGTTTTTACATAAATTTTCAAAGCTGTGAAGCCTGTTTTGGGATGTTGTGATGCAACCCAAACCGCCTAAGAGATTCTAGAAGTGATTCTTAGTTTTCTGCCTCTTCTTTTCTTTTATTTTCTGTACAGTTCACAGATTACTGTTTACCACCTATAAACGGCCTTTATTTTGCCAACAAATTCCTCTCTCTTTAAGCCCAAGCCTTCTACAACCAAACCCTACATAACTCTTGGCATTCTTTCACTAAACCTAACCCTAAAACCAGCTTAAGAATGCTTCAAACCTGCGTGTGCTGCATCAAAAGCCTGCACCTCTTTTTGGGTTCTTGAATTTTTCCAAATGTGGAGTAAACTAGTAGTGGTTGCAGAGCAAATGGAGAAGCTTAAGCTGCAAGCAAGACAGCATACTAAGGGTTGGTTTGTGATGTTCTAAAAAAGTGCACTTTTTAACTTATTGGCTTATATGGGTTGGGTTTGGGTTGGGTTTGATGTGATGTGTTAGAGAGGTGATGTGATTTAAATAAGATGATATGACTTAAATAGGATAGTGACTTTTTAACTTTTTGTATTATTTAAGCTAAGTTTGGCATATTGTAAAAAAGTCAAAAAGTTACTCAAAAAGTTAAAAAGTTAACACTATTTACCAAAAGTCAACAATTACGACTGCACAACTCCCAATCCTAATTTTTCCCAACAAATCAATTTTTACAATTTTTTATTACACATTTTTCCATAAAAAGTCAAAAAGTTAACCCAAACATCCATATTTTCTTCCTCAATTTTTTAGTCCAAAAAGACAAAAAAGTACACTTATTTAGGACACCCCAAACAACCCCTTAGTTTATGCCAAACCAACCTTAAGACTACTAAAATCTAAATTTTATTTGATGTTTAATTTTTCTTGTTAGGCGTTTAGTGAATTACTTCTTATGGGTTTTTGCTCGTACTTTTATTTCAAAAGGTAAATGTGATTTTTAAGGGAGCCATGTGACTTTTGATGGCAGATTAGTCATTTAATTCCTTTTATTCTGCTGCACATGACAAATAGCCCTTAGATTTTATTTTTTTATTTTTTTATCTTTTGAACAAAAATACCCCTTAGATTAGGTTTGATAAAAGGCTGACATCTATTAGGAAATCAACTCTTCCTAACGTGAGACACAAAATAACAAACAAAAAAAATAAACAAATCAAAGACATCAAACACACACAAGAACATAATGATTTACATGGTTCATCCCACAATAAGGCTACGTCTACGGCTACGGCTACTATGGTTTTCACTATGATCATAAAACAATTACAACTCTCTATCATACAAGAGGCACCCCCCTATTCTATTTATAAGCATAGAAATTAGGACAACGTGGAAGCAATAAGAAATTACCAAAAGTACCCTTGGACCCCCCTTCACTTGGGGGGAGGCCCTCCCAAACCCCCCATTGGACCCATGGCCCAGTGTACAGTATCAGGATCCACAAGATCATACTTTTTGTTAGGACAGCCCTAGAGTCTTTAAAGGGTTGTTCCAGGTTGTACTCAAAGGCTTTTGGACCATCATTTGCGCAATTTTAAGTCTTCTACATAAAGTTTCTTACTCTCCCTTTGTTTTGGGATTGAGATGTGGGTGTTTCAGCCAAGTCTAAGCTTGTTCTAGCTCTGGTTCTGTGTACATTTAATCTTTTTGTTAACGGATTGCATCAAGCATTAGTTGGTCCACTGGAGTTGTCTGGGAATTTCAAGCATTTCTCTAGGATTTTACAAGCAGCCACCTGGGAGAACAAAGCCACCTCACCTACCTGTTTTAACCTGTTCAGAACGCAACAGTAGATCAACAACAACAAATGATCCTCTGCAATTGAAGATTTAAAAAGGCAAATCAAACAGACCAGCACCTATTCCATCTAATGATAGCCTTTGGGACACTCAGTTTGTAGGTATTTAGTAGTGAGGTGGTTGGTCATAGACCTCTAGGAAGATGGTGGGCACTTCAATGGCTTGCCAATTGTTGGAGGCAAAGGAGGAGAGAAACAAAGCAGCCTTAGAGGGAGAGAGTGTGGCAGTGACAGAGACCCTTAAAATTCCCTTTATGGTGGTTGGTTCAGAATCATGAATCTAAAAGTCAATTCAACAAACACTATGTGAGCAACTCAATTTCAACACAATTGTAACAATATAATCAACTACAAATGAATCTGAAGTAAAATCTAGCAAACACAATAGAGAGGTGAGATTTTTGATGAGGAAAAAACCTCATGAACCTCCAATTGAGATTAAAAATAAAATAAAAAATAAAAAAGCCCAAGGCCACCAAATCAATCTACTAGATCAAATGAGCAATTACAGTAAAGTCTTACAATCACTGGTGGATCAACACCCAAAACACTTAAGCTCCTCTTGCCAAATCCATGTTCATTGGTCTCTCAAGATCGGTCTCCAAAGAGTCGAATCCACAACACAATCACCACCTCTGAAATCCACCAAAAGTCTTCAATTGCCATTGGAATCCACCAAAGGACTTCGTCCAAGTGCAAAAGAAGAGAATTGTGAACTTGGAGATGATTGATTCAAGCTTGTTGATAGATAGATCTCCACAACAACATTCTTCCTTTTGTTGATTGAGACATGTTTGTTAAGCCAATTTTAGCTTATACTAGCTCATTGATTCCCCTTTGTTAGGTTTACTTAGTTGATTTCCATTTGCACGAAGCCTCCAGTGTTTGTAATTGTTTGGGTTGCTTTACAAGTTGATTGTTCTAAAAAGGTTGAGCTCACTATTGTTTCCATCTTGTTTGCTTGATGGTTGTGTTTCATGGGAATTTCATTATCAAAGGTATATGACTTGTCCATACCCTCACAAGTCACAGTTTTTAGAACTCTGTTTTAAAGTCAAAATTTTGAGCTCCTTAGCTTCAAGCTCGACAAGAGCTCAAGCACCTAAACTCCTACAAGGTGTGCTCACTTTGCGCTCTACAAGAGCACGAGCACCTGATTTCCTGTAAAGTGCACTCATTTAGCGCTTGACAAGAGCTCAAGCGCCTAATTTCCTGTGAATCACGTTCAACCCTGCCTTTTTATGGTCGTTTATGCCCCTTTCGCCCTCAAATTGTTTTTTAAACAAATATGATCTCATCTTTGTAGAGATTCAAGAATACAAGCTTAAGATATACTTTCTCTCTCTAGTCTTTCATCTAAGCTTGTGCTTCAAAAATCCATTGATGGATTTATCAATCTAGAGATCAAACCATATATTCAACCATCAATTCCCTCTAGCTTGATTGTATTGATACGGACAATCTCAGAAAAAACTTCACACATATTCTTCATCCCTATAACACCATGGTCGATTGAAGATCTAAGGCATTAATTTCGAAATATTGGAGCTTGAAGTTACATGGAGATTCTTGGATCTGTTGTGCTTGTTTGTGCAGGGCCACTTTGGAGTGAAGATTAAGCTTCTTGAAGCTTGTGGTGGGCTCCATTATAGGTATAAGTGTGGGTAAGACAATGTAAATCCTTAATTGAGTCTTGTAACTATTTGATTCACTGATCTAGTGAAAATTGGTGGTGGGATCGATGTTTTCATCGCATTGAATAATTTTCCCAAAGGTTTTCCACGTAAAGTGCATCTCTTCTATTGATTCCTTAAATTCTATTGAATGAGTGTTGGCTTTAATCAATAGTTGATTTACTTTGTTATTGTTCATTAGGTAGAATTGACCCATTCAACCTCCCCTCTAGGGTCAATTACTTGTGTTGTGATTGTTTCAAATATTGTCGGACCGACTTCCACAATCTCTCTTAAAATCAATTGGTGTTTGGGAAGGGTTTCACTTTTGTCTTTTATGGCATTCGACATCGCACCCCGTATGCCCATTTTAAAGCAGCCGTAAAGAGCGGCATTGTGTACTGACACCCTTAATCATTATTTAAATATTCTTTGTATAAGTAGCGGTGGTATGCTTTTTCTTTATGGAAATATCATATTTAGATGGTCCCTTGAAATAGAGGAAGGCTCAGGTTCCACATTAGGGGAAGGCTCAGGCGAGGGCCTAGGGAGGGATCATGTTGATATCAAGCCTGGGAGCCCTCTCAACGGGAACTTCCACTTCTTCGCGCAGTGGTAGATTGAGATCAATGTTCGCCCGAGGGCAAGGGTCTAAGCTCGAAGCACCGGAACCGTCTCCAAGAAACATCATATGCACGAGAGGGGGCATGGCCTCGCTACCGATCAAAGCCCGACCTCCAAGAACTTATGATGTTATTTCTTATAAAGAGTATGTCAAAATTGATTCAAGGCAATGCTGTCATAGATGATATGAGTTTGTAAAAAAGTTTGAGGTTCACCAGAGTTATGTGGATAAGGACACCACTCATCAGTCTGTTGAACTCCCCATAATCACAAGAAACATGGATTTGTTAACAAAATCTATGCATAAATGAAGTTGTTCTATATTCATTTTACTGGAACAATAATGCTAGGCTAGGATGAACCACACCACATTTAAGTTGAGGGCTCCATAGATTTCGCAGCAAACATTTCAAAGGGAAGATAATGGGAATTCCCAATGAATATATTTATATTCTTGGTTTTAGAAAATCCACAGTTTTTTTCCCGATAATTGGACAACCGAATAGGGTTTATTATCAGAGGATTTAGACCGAATACGAAATTGGCAATACAACCCACAAGAGTTGTTTAGGTCTCTGATTGTGAAAGATGAGTACTGGTTTGTACTACTAAAGAATTAATCCAACACCAACGGAAGAGAAAAATGAATAAACAAATAAAAATAAAAACTCAAAGAGCAATCAAATATGACAAAAGCCCTAAACATCTTGATCGGTAAATGAACCACCAATTTAAACGACGTAAAAAAACAAGACAAGACAAAGGATAGCTGTAAACACCAAACAAGTGGAAGAGTGAAGAAGCTGAAGATGAAATCCAAGTAAAGCTGAATACTTACTGGAGTAAATAAATCTATTAATGACGATGATGAAAGAAGATGAGAGAAAGAAGTAAAAAGAGAGAAAACTAACAAGCGAATCGGGGCGAGCTTTGTGGCGGAGATGGGATTCGAGCTGTTGATTGCGGGAGTTGGTGATCTGCATGACACCGTAGCCAATAACCCCAGGAACCACTCCACAGACAGTCGCGAACATCAGGAAGAAGGGCTTCGAGTCCCGAGTCTTCCTCACTATCCACCTCCACATCTCGCTCTTCTCCCACAGTATCGACATTCGCCCTCCCTCTCTCTCTCTCTCTCCCCTCCTCGCCTGTTTTGGGTTTTTTTTTTTTCTCTATTTTAAATCTACCACACTACAAAAATGTATATAATTTTCACCTTGTTCGATTATACGGAATTTTTTGATTTTTGTATTTTTTTAGAACTTTTTTTAATATTTTTTATAAATTTTATTTCTTTAAATTAATTATAATATTAATTAATTTAGAAAAAGTGAACAGAAAAAATATATGAAAATTCATGATAATTTCATACTTTGATATATTTAATAATTTTTTTAATTTTTTGTATAAATATTATAATTTTTAAATATATCGATATTAAGTGAATCTAAAAAGTTAAAAAAATATAATTAAAATAATCATAATGTTTCATCTACTAAATGCAAGAGTTCGTGCTATGTCTGAATGAGGTAATAGTGGCCAAACGAATTCTCTAGTCACGCGAGTAAAAGAGATAGGTAACTATCGTCTCTCTCTTCTCTTCTCTCTCATCTTGCCCTCCTCTCTCCTACTCACAATCTCTTAGTTCGGCGGCCACCATCACTACAACCATTGCGAGTGACTTTTTTCCCAATCCAACGAGATAATTCTATCACATTCAGTGCCAACCCCACTGACAACTTCCCTTCCTAGTGTCCTTCTAACGGCGACGTTTCTCCAGTCATACCACCCTTTATCCTCTCTCATCCTTAGTGACCTCTCTTGCGATGTCCATGACGGGTGGTTCACGGTGGTGATTGGCGACGAATCTCTTAATGTGAAAGGTTTTGGGTGGCGACTTGGGGTGTGGCCTTGGTTGGTCGGCGAATGAGTGACGATAAGGGTGTAGAGATCGGCGGAGGAGTGGCAACAATCATGGATGTCGATTCTCCAATCACCTATTTGGTTCTTTTTTTCATTCATAGATTCAAATATAAAGGCGACAACAAAGGTAAGTACCAACAAATAAGGAGAGAGGATAAGAAAGAAAACAAGAATAAGGTTTTGTTGTGTGTGTGTTTCATGTATACATGTAACAAATAGAGCTCAATTGGCAGCAAACTTTGACAGCTAATTCGGGCAATTCGAGTAGGGAATTCGGTGGATATAGCGGTATTGTAAAATATTTTTGAAGTAAAAAATACAAATTGAAAACTTAAAATACTATTTTTTAAAATTTCAAAACAAAACAGATTGAATGTAATTTTACCTTATGTTGTAGCCCCTCCAACACTTCGTCAAATTTATTTATTCTTTAAATGTTAAAATGTATAATTTATTCATCAAATTTATATCAAATTAAAATTTCATTAAATAATAAATAAATAAAAATTTTGGCCAAATTTTCAACAAATATTTTTTTCACTTAAATTCAATGAAGTTATAAAAATATAAAAGATTAAATATCAAATTATATATTTTTTAGCTTAATTAATTAAAGAAGGTTTTGATGATAGGTTAAGTATTTTCAAAAAGACTTGATATAGAAAATTTAATTATCACAATTTGGGTAACTTACATTAAATTAAGCTTTTTGATTTTAATTGTTTGACGAATTTGATAAAAAAATATAAAAGAAAACAAGGGAAAAGTTGGCGATACTCTTTTAAGCATATTACAGTGGGAGTCTCAAGGGAAAATTAACAGGAAAAAATGAAACAAATAACTACATAAGTTAGAAAAAAAGTTTAAAAAATACAAGACAAAATGCTGTGGTTTTATTCTCTCTTGTTTAAGTAAATAATTTCTCTTGTTTTTTTTTGTGATGCCATTTTTTTTTTAACTCTTTATCTCATGTTTGCCTAATAAGAGAATAAAATCATATTTGATTTTACAGCTTTACTCTCTCAGTTAATATAATACGCTCGTGGCACATGTGTATCAAATTTTTACAAATTTTAATTTGGAATTTTTTTAATAAATTCTCTTTTTAAGAGTTTTATTCCATTTAACTCATATTTTTTTTTACTATTTCATTAGGTCTTACTTGAGGTAAGAAAATCAAAATATCCTCAATCTCTAATACCCCTATTAATATTGATATTTAATGTTAATTGTCATTATGTTTTGATAGTTCCTATGCATCAATATGTTGACTATCATTATATTCATATTAATTTGAAATGAATTTTTGTCATTGTGTTGTTAATTACATGATCTGAATATTCACATCATGCAATTGAAATAAATATTCACATCATTATATTTATATTAATTTGAAATGAATTTTTGTCATTGTGTTGTTAATTACATGATCTAAATATTCATACTAAAACATATGAATGTGAACGTTCACATCACTATGTTAGATGAGAGAGAATGTTCAAATCACTACACGTTGTGAATAAGAATATGTTGTCAATTAATAATATAATGAATGCTATTTTAATGTATTGTGAATTAAAAATAAGAAGGTTCACATGTTGTGAACGTTCACATCACTGCATTAGATGAGAGAGAATTTTTCGAAAATGTATTGTGAACGTTCAAATCAGATGAAAGAGAATATTCATATTATTTTTAATGTGTTATTGTAGACACCCCATTTTTGACCGACCTTAAGACTCAGACGTCACCGATTGAGCGCTTGGTGATGTTATATATCGTGCTCGTTCAGAGGTTTCAGAGTCTCGGCCGCGAGTCTTGCCTCCAGACTTCCGGACTCTTTCATGCTTTGCCTCGGTTTGCGAACCAGGCTCTGTTTTCTCTGTTTTCTCTTCCCGAAGGGAGGGAGAGATCTCGTAGATCATCTCTCAGTGGCCGTAGAATACGTTTCGTGGTCGTAGGCCATTTTTCCCGTTTGGAGCCCAGTTTCCGATTTTTCGGAGCCGTTGGCCGTGTGCCTCGGTTCGGGACCGTTTAACCACCTCCGTTTGCTCCGGTTTTTGGCATGCATCTTATTTGCTCCCTTTTGAGGGACACTGTGGCTCGAGAGACCAATTTCGTGGTCGAACACCACTTTCGGTGCCTAACAATCAATTTTCGGGGCCTCGGACTGCGCGTTTTGGCCCCCGAACCTCCATTTTGCATCGGTTTGAGTTCATTTTTGGCAGGGACCTCTGTTTCATTGTTAGGAAGGTCGTAGAAGGGTGGGAGGCCAGTAATTGCTCTGATAACCAGTTTTATTCCTCCATCGCCCTCCGTCGCCCGTTTTTCTCACTTGAAAGCCAATGTTGACCACTCTGAGGCCACTTTTTCTTGCCCCAAACCACATATTTGTGTTGTACACACCTGGGAGGCAACCAATATCATATGGCCGGCCAGTAATTGTGTGCGACCCTTTTGAACCCCTCCTAAAAGTGGTCTTTTCTCTCTCCTAGTTTACTTTCTCCAGTTTTTGACCACATGGTTGTGTTGTGCACACATGGGAGGCCACCAATCTGGGGTGGCCGGCCACTAATACTTCTTGAGCCTTTTGACCCTTGGCTGGCCGGCCATGGGGAGGGCCGGCCGGCCACCTGCAACTTAGATATCAGGCCGGCCATGATCCCCACCTCTAGTACATTACAAATATGTATTCTGTTTCCCCCCAGATTGTGTATCCGGGGGGCTGCACTTTTGGGGAAAAATTTGAAATCCATTTCGGCCCCTTTTTTCCCACACTTTTGCCTATATATCCAGGCCCCCCAACTGTGTTTTGAGAGGTTACAAAAATTGGTTCAAGACCCTTGCACTCAATCTCTCTCTCCCTCTATTCCAACCCTCAAAACCTCCTTAATCCTACACCATCTACCCTACACCTCATAGCACAAAGCCTCCATCTTCCATTCCAGCAATTTGAGGTTGTTTTCCAGAGGTTGAGAGCCACCAAACTTGGTCCAAGAGTTATTGAAGACATAGGCTACAAGGGTAAGTCTCCTTCTTCCTCTTTCTTGCCTATTTTTGCTCAATATATTAGCTCCTCTTGCTTGCATATTTGGGCTCTGACCCTAACTGAAAATAAAATTATTTTGAGCTCCTTTTCATGTTTGTTTAAGGGCCTCTCCCTGTTTGAAGCTTCCTTTTTACACTTGCTTCTTTACCACTCTTGTATGCCTCTTTCTTGCATAGTATTTTAGGCTCATTTTTAAATTGTTTCGAGCTTGGTTATAAAATGCAAAGTGGCTTATTTTGAGGCCTTCTTCAACATTTTTGAAGGGCTCTTTACTATTTGAGGCTTCCTTTTGTCACTTTCCTCTTCATCCCTCTTTTGGCCTTACTTTTGCATGTTTTGTTAGCCCCTTGTGCTCGTGTTTTTGGGCTCTGGTACGAACTGTAAATAGCCTTATTTTGACCCCCTCTTCATGTTTGATCAAGGGACCTTTGTTGTTTGAAGTTCTCTGTTTGCTCTTTGTGTTTAAACCTCTTTTTAGGCCTTATTTTGCATAGTATTTTAAGCTTGCATGTGCACTGTTTTGGGTTTGGTCACTAACTGTAAAATACCATGTTTTGGGCCCCTCTTCAACTTTGTTGAAGGGCCCTCCTTTGTTGAGGCCAGAAACCATCACTTGCTTCTTTGTCTCCCTTTTGGCCCATTTCTTGCACAATGTTTTAGGCCTGTTTTTGTTTAGATCCGTGGCTTGTTGAAAACTGTAAAGTGCTTCATTTTGAGCCCCTCTTCAACTTTTTTTAAGGGCTCTTGGCCATTTAGGGGAAACAGCTGCTACTTGCTTCATTATCTCTCTTTTGGGGCCATTTTTGCATGTTAACTTAGCCCTATTTGTGTTCACTTTTTGGCCTTGCTTAAAACTGTAAATATGCATGTTTTGGGACTGCCTTGAATCTTTCTTCATGCTTCATGATCAAATAGTGCATGCTTTGCATAGCCATAGGTTATTCCATGTACCTAATTTCATGTTTCAGGTCTCATTCTATGTATCGGGTGCCATATTGCCATGTTTCGGGGCTGTTTTGCATCATATTTTGGCACTAAAATTTGCATGCTAGTATGCCATATTCCATGCCTTGCCATGCCTTGTTAGAGTGGCATTTGTGCCTTAGGTTCAGTCCTCGGTTTGCGTGCACGTGTGCATGCATCTCGAGTGTCTCATTTTCATCGAATAGCTACCGATGTGAGTGTGGCTGAGGTCCACTCA